CGGCGACAATGACGACAACGACGAGGGAGGAGGGAGGACGGCGACGACGCGAACGACGAAGAAGGGTGGAGGACGGCGACGCCGACGACGACAACGACGAGGGAGGAGGGAAGGCGACGACGACGACCACGACGACGGCGACGAAATAGGAGGGACGACGACGAGACGCCGACGACGGACGACGACGACCACGGGAGAGGAGGAGGAAGGACGACCACGGCGACAACGACGACGGAAACGACCACGACGACGAGGAAAGACAGAGGACGACGACGACGACGACGACGAGGGAGGAGGGAGGACGGCGACGACGACAACGACGCCAGGGCGCGCGCGCACGCTTTTGTTGAAAATCCGTGTTGCGACACCGTGCGTTTTTCATGTTTTTTGGACACGATTTTGAAATCCCCCCGAAACCGAAGGTTTTTGAAGGATTTCGGCGTGCGCGCGCGACGACGCGCGCGTCAGCACTTCGTCCCGTTTTTTGCAAAGGATTCTCGCGACGGCACGCGCGCAAGGGCGTTCGAAAGATTTCGACATGCGCGCGCGCGGAGCCCGTCTGGTAGTATTTTTTTTTTTTGAAAATCTTGAAAGCCGATGATTGTTGAACAAAATTCTCAAGAGCGCGCGCGTAAGCTTTTTTAGAAAACCAGTGTTGTGAAACCATGTGTTTTTGTATGTTTTTGGGGAAACTCGATTTTGAAATCCCTTCTGACACCGGAAGTGTTTGAAGAATTTCGGCATGCGCGCGCGACGACGCGCGCGTGCGCCTCTCGTCCCAGCTTTTGCAATAAGCTTTTAATGTTTAATAAACGAGTGTGCGCGCAACAGTTTTTGCAGAGGATGGTGGGGAGGAGTGATACCGGCCTGGCTGTGATAGTATGAGTTCACAGTTAGGATGGACGGTGGGGCATAATCATATGTAAATTGCATTACCGAATGGCGTTCCGTTACTTCCGGGGGGGGTAGAGTCTATTTCTTTGTTAGGCAGGGGAATCAATCCTTTGCTCAATTTGAAACTCTACTCGTGCAAACATCCCACCCTCTCACCCGCAACTTGGTCGCAATACCTCATAAGACCGTGACAGTGGGTACCAAATGGCACTTGGCAACGACGCCGACACCGACGACGACAGCGACAACGACGACGCCGCTGATATCGACTACGACGACACCGACGACGACTCCAACGACTTCGACGACGACGACAACGACGACGACGACAACACCAACGACGACGACGACGCCGACGCTGACGACGACGACGATGACAGCGCCGACGACGCCGCCGCCCTCGACGACGACGACGACGCCGCCGACGACGACGACGACGACGAAGACGACGAAAACGACGACGACGACGTCGCCAACGAAGACGACAACGACGAGGGAGGAGGGAGGACGACGACGGCGCCGTCAACGACGAGGGAGGCGGGAAGACGACGACGACGACGTCGCCAACGACGACAACGACGAGGGAGGAGGGAGGACGACGGCGACGACGACAATGACGAGGGAGGAGGGAAGACGACGACGACGACGACGGCGGCGAAGTAGGAGGGACAACGAAGAAACGCCGACAAAGACGACGAGGGAGGAAGGACGACCACGGCGACAAGAACGACGGAACGAGGACAACGACGACGACGCCGACGACGTCGACGACGAAGACGACGACGACGTCGCCAACGAAAACGCGAGGACGACGAAGGAGGACGGAGGACGACGACGGTGGCAACGACGACTACGACGAGGGAGGAGGGAGGACGGCGTCAACGACGCGAACGACGAAGAAGGAGGGAGGACGGCGGCGCCGACGACGACAACGACGAGGGAGGAGGGAAGACGACGACGACGACGCTGGAGGGACAACGACGAAACGCCGACGAAGACGACGAGGGAGGAAGGACGACCACGGCGATAACGACGACGGAAAAGACGACGACGCCAAGACGACGACGATGACGAGGAACGACAGGACGACGACGACGACGACGAGGGAGGAGGGAGGGTGGCGACAACGACGACGACGCAAGAGCGCGCGCGCACGCTTTTGTTGAAGATCCGTGTTGCGAAACCTTGTGTTTTTTGGACACACGATTTTGAAATCGCTCCGACACCGATGGTTTTTTTAAGGATTTCTGCGTGCGCGCGCGGCGACGCGCGCGTGCGCACTTCGTCCAATTTGTTGCAGAGGATTCTCGCGACGGCACGCGCGCAAGAGCGTTCGACTGATTTTGACACGCGCGCGCGCGAAGCCCGTTGTGTAGTGCTTCTTGAAAGTATTGAAAAACGTATGGCTATCCTAAGGTTTCGCAAGAGCGCGCGCGTAAGTTTCTTTAGCAGATCAGTGTTCCGAAACCCTGTGGTGTTTGTATGTTTTTGTTGGTAAGCTCGATGTTGAAATCCTTTTGAGATCGGAGGTTTTAAGGACTTCGGCATGCGCGCGCGCCGACGCGCGCGTGTGCACTTCGTCCCATGTTTTGCAAAGGTGCTTTTGAAAACTTATGATGTTTGATAAACGAGTGTGCGCGCGTAGTTTGTTTCGAAAAGGATGGCGGGGGGGAGTGATACCGGCCTGGCTTGGATAGTATGAATTCACAGGTAGGATGGACGAGTGTGCAGAGTAGATATGAAATCGCAATACCCCAGGGCGTACCGTTAACTCAGGGGGGTAGAGCCGATTCTTCTTTTAGAAAGGAGAATCTAAGCGACGGCGGCGACGGGCGGCACCGCCCGCAAAAGCCGCCACTCACCCCGAGATGGTTGAGCCAAGTAGGAACCCCAGAGTGCAACCACGGTTTGGGGAATGGTCTGTTTACGAACATTGTACAAACGTTTTTGTGTCATGGGCTCAGCGAGAGCATCCATGCTGGGGTAAGTCAAGTCTGCAGTCGATCCCCTATTCGAGAAACGGGGGTCAATACAAACGGGGGTGAATCAAAGCGCCAGATCTGGCGGGATCCTGCAGAGCCAGGGCTGCACCGACCCAGGCTTGGGCGCAGGGTCACCCAGGATCCTGCAGGCTCCTGCCAGCAGGGCTCGACCTGACCGTTTCCGTTTTGACATGTTTTTGCAGCGAAGGCGGAGGGAAGACAACACGAGGGAAAACGAAACCACATGACGAAACCAAAAGACATTGATGTGGTCGAGCTCTGCATGCATGGCCTGACTGACCCAGGATTGCATTGACCCAGGCTCGTACGTTTAAGTCGGGTATGCTTTTTTACAGGAGGAATATTCAAAAATAGTCAAAACATCGTAAGGGAATGATTTTTCTATTATTTATGGCTATGCTTGAATACTGTTTGATTTTTGGGGGGCATTTTTCCTAGAAGATCCGCATGTCGGAGGACATGCCCGACCTAACGGTACGTCCCCGAATCTATGCCGGCACCGCTGCCTTCCTCCGCCTCCTCCTCCTCCTCCTCCTTGACCCAGGTCAGTACGTCCCCGAGTCGGTGCCGGCACCGCTGCCAATCCCCTCGTCGCCACGGCAGGTGTCGCCTCGGAGAGTCCTGTGCAGAGCGCCCGCCTGGAGAGGTCCAAAAGCCAGCGCTACCGCCGCTGGCGTTAAAGACGCCCACCTGGCCAGGGCTCGTTTCGATTCCTCCGATTCGATTCGATTCGAGTTCGATGGTTTCCGATTCAGATTCGGTTCGACTTCGGATTCCGACTTGGGTTCCGACTTCTGATTGGAGGCATATTGGCCTGCCGGGTTCCGCCGACTCGACTTCTCCCGATTCGGCTGCCGATTTCCGCTGGTCCGATTCATTTCGATCGCCGATTCGACTGATCGATTCGATTCTGGGCTCTCCCGCTCTGCATAATGACAGCGCTGCTGTGTTCAAAACCCCCGTGCCCCCCATCGAAGAAGACACAACTACACAGACACAGGTATACAACATGCATAGATTTTGAGCGCTCCGCGCGGATTTCTTGGATCCGCGCCTGGGGCCTCCCCTGGCGGCGCCTCCGGCGCCACCCTTGGCGCGCTCCATCCAGCGCAGATCCAAGAGATCCGCGCGGAGCTCCAAAAGTTTATGTTCATGGGTTTTTTTCTTATTCAATGTTCAGAACCCCCGTGCCCCCCAATTTCAATGGTGAAGACGGGGTTGCCTTGTCGGTGGAATTTTGCGCGCTTTTTATGCCGATGCTTGCGCCCCGACTGCGGCCGCGAACGCAACATTAGAATGGGGGTCCGGGGCTGCGCCGTCGAAACCACGTTTGTATATGGGCGTTTTTTGCACCAACAGCGGTACCCATATGGTCGTTGAAAGAAGGTATATTTGGATTCCCAGATTCCACTCTTCTTGAAGCGCCTTCCGACTTCAGTCATCGAGTGGCTTCACTTTTTCCGTCCTCTTCAGGGGGCGGGCGGAGACCCAATCTATTTCCAACGCCTTCCTACTTAATATTTCTACCGACTTCTTCCGACCGATGGGTATCGGTGTCTTAGGTCACCCCCAAGAAGATTTTCGTGCTTCGCTCAGCGCGGTCTGGGGCGGAGCGGCTGCTCTTCTCCAGGGCGGTGGCGCGAGGGCGCGTGGTCGCGGAGAGAGCCGCGCTTCGCGCATCGCAGGGCGCAATGCGCGAAGTTTGGTGACCTAGGTTTATGTCGGGCATATCCTTCTACAGGAGGAATATTCGAAAATAGTTGAAAAAATAGTATGTCGACGACTTTCGACTATTTTTGAATATGTGTGACTACTTCCGATTTTTCTGACAAAATCCGCCTGTAGGGGGACACGGCCGACCTAGACCTAGGTATCCGTGTTCCCCTGAGATCCCCCACGGTATTGAAATCAGGACGTATTTCTTGAGCCCAGTCTTATCGATGATGCTCGGGCAGCTTTGCTTTCATCGGGCTCCCTTCTCTTCCCTTCCTCTGCTCATCTGCGGGCAGGCATGCAGGAACTCCAAACCCATGTGACTTGCGTGCCTTCTTCCCTGGAGGTGTTATATGTTGGCAGACGGAGGAGGGAGGGCGCGGGGCGAAGGCGTCCGAGCACGGGACCGAGTTCGACAATTTCCGCAAGTTCGTCAGCACCACCATGCAGGCGGGCCTGGTGTTTCACGGGGGAAAACGGGACCATGTTGCGAGGATGTTGCACGCTGCTTCGACGTGTCCCTTGGTCACGGAATTGTGTGGACCCCCACCGTGCTGTCGTAAGCGCCGTCGGCGGCGGAGCCAGCCACATCGCCAGCAGCAGCACCGGCAGCACTGGACTGCGAGCGACTGCAAATCTGGCGGCTTCGAGGGCGCAGCAAGCCCACGCGAACGGAGTTGCGTGTTTGCCATCGCAGCGCAAAATGCTTCGATCTCGATCCGCCGACTGGAGGAGTGGCGTGGAGGCAGATCACTTGACCAGCGAAGCCTCTCGCATCTGCTCAACTTGAGATGGCCTCTGAGGTTGTTGGATCTGAAATCAGCAGACAGTCCGTTCCATGCGAAATGTGCTTGCGGAGCATGCGCGGCAGGATGATGTCGAACACGACGGCATGCAGAAAGGGATGAGAACGAGGTCGAGTACGAGGAGGGGACGAAGTAAAGGAGGAGGCGGACCTGGAATAGCTGGAATAGGAATTGTTCTCTGCAGTCTGCCGTAAGCAGCACTTACCGCACGAATGAGGCAAGTTTCTGCGTGCGCCACCCGCTGTTGTAAAGCGCACGTTGCCTGCAGTCTCCTCTGCCCCCGTATCTCATGGGGGACTGATTGGCCCTCGCTGGGTCCATCCTTGGCCGGGGATTGCATCTGGCCTCCCAGGTCCCAGGTATCTTCCCACTGGCGATTATGGCTGTTGCCGCGCGTTCACGCGGATCGCACTAATGAGCAGAAGTTTTGGCTGTGTTGCGAGTGGCATTGCCTGGCCGCACATGCAAGGATTCTAAAGAAGCGATCGCGGCAGGATCGGGGCTGAACGAAAGGGGGTGATAGGGAAAGGGAGGGCTACGAAATCTGCTGCACGCAGCTGGTTTCGGCCCCGCCGCCAGGCCCATTCCTCGATACACGGGCGCCTCCCGGCGCCGGGAGGCGCTGCTACATGAGCTGATCATGTACCCTACCCTTTGCTCTCCTCCCCTTTCGTTCCCCCCGATAGGACGCTTCGCTGACGATTCTGAGTGGTCGCTTTTCGTTGCCCGAGGCGGTGCGCCGGACGGTCAGCAAGGAGCCGCGCATCCTTTTCAGACACTTTGAGCGGCTGCCGCCAGAGAGGATCACGGGACTGGAGTGTGCTTTGTGGGAGGGGGAGGAGGAGGAAGAGGAGGAGGAGGAGGATGAAGGATGGAGGGGGAGGAGGAGACGGAGGAGGGGGGGTCAGTGCGCGCATGATTCTTTTCGAGTGCGCGCAGGATGCTTTGAACGTCATATTTTGTGCGGGGAGGAGGGCTCAGGGGAGGGTTGTCATGGGGGGTCTGTCGGGGGGGCTCCAAACTCTGGTGTGCTTGTCCAGGGGGTTGGAGTGGTGGTAGTCACAGAGGTCGTAAGAGTAGTCATAGCAGCGCCAGTAAAATGTCGCAGCAGTAGTCGTAACAAAGGTAGTGGCACTCCCAATAGTAAGAGTGTTGTAGTAGAAGTATTGGTAGTAGTAGTAGTCGTCGTAGTCGGAGTCGGAGTCGCGTCGTCGTAGCGCTCGTCGTCGTAATGGTAGTCGTAGTCGTCATCGTGCTCTTGGTAATCGTAGTAGTAGTAGTAGTAGTAGTAGTAGTAGTAGTAGTAGTAGTAGTAGTAGTAGTAGTAGTAGCAGTAGTAGTCGTAGTAGTAGTAGTAGTAGTAGTAGTAGTAGTAGTAGTAGTAGTAGTAGTAGTAGTAGTAGTAGTAGTTAGTAGTAGTAGTAGTAGTAGTAGTAGTAGTAGTAGTAGTAGTAGTAGTAGTAGTAGTAGTAGTAGTAGTAGTAGTAGTAGTAGTAGTAGTAGTAGTAGTAGTAGTAGTAGTAGTAGTAGTAGTAGTAGTAGTAGTAGTAGTAGTAGTAGTAGTAGTAGTAGTAGTAGTAGTGTAGTAGTAGTAGTAGTCGTAGTAGTAGTAGTAGTAGTAGTAGTAGTAGTAGTAGTAGTAGTAGTAGTAGTAGTAGTAGTAGTAGTAGTAGTAGTAGTAGTAGTAGTAGTAGTAGTAGTAGTAGTAGTAGTAGTAGTAGTAGTCGTAGTAGTAGTAGTAGTAGTAGTAGTAGTAGTAGTAGTAGTAGTAGTAGTAGTAGTAGTAGTAGTAGTAGTAGTAGTAGTAGTAGTAGTAGTAGTCGTAGTAGTTGTAGTAGTAGTAGTAGTAGTAGTAGTAGTAGTAGTAGTAGTAGTAGTAGTAGTAGCAGTAGCAATAGCAGTAGCAGTAGTAGTAGTAGTAGTAGTAGTAGTAATAGAAAAGTAGTAACAATAGCAGTAGCAGTAGTAGTCCAGTAGTAGGTGTAGTAGTAGTAGTCGTAGTAGTAGTAGTAGTAGTAGTAGTAGTCGTAGTAGTAGTTGTAGTAGTAGTAGTAGTAGTAGTAGTAGTAGTAGTAGTAGTAGTA